CTGCTGTACTCACACATTTGTAAAGTCTGTCTTTGAATTTTCTTCCCAGTTAACAAGCTTGAGTAAGTCGTCTTTATTCTGTTATACTCTGATAGCTATGTTTCCTCCTCCTCCTCTTTTTTTTTTTGGTAGCACTGGGGATTGAGCGCAAGGCCTCACATATGCTCAGCATGTGCTCTGCTACTGGGCTTCCTCGCTTTGTGCCCAGTATTAAATTAGTTCTGGCAAGGGCAATGGAACACATGCCCTTGTTGATGAGGCACCCAGCAGTGGTCACCATAGCTGTTGTATTATATATTATAAAAATACTGTGTTTGTACTTGTAAGTTTTATTTCCCATTCAGATATACAGTGAACTCACCAATCAAGGATAGCCTTGGTGTTGGCAACACAGCTGTGTTCTTTTGTTGATGTGTGGTGCTTTCTCTGTCACAAGAACAGAGTTGAGTAGTTGGAGTATGTGGGCTAAGATAGTCTCTGACCTGTTACAAAAAAAATTACTGACTCTTGATCTAGAACAGCGTTGTTCAATGTGGGGGTCAAGCTGAGCACCTGACAATTTGCTAGTCCAAATTGAGATGCACTGTACTTGTGAAATACACACCAGATTTCAAAGATTCACTTGTACTCTTTATTTTAATGCCCTTTGCCCCATACCTGTTTTTCTTTACTTTTTAATGTGGCTCCTAGCAAATTAAAAATTACATATGGGATTTATATTATATTTCTGTTGGGCAGTACTGATGTAGAATGCAATTGGTAGCTTAGAAAATAAGTGGATAAAAACTGCTCTTTGGCAAGAGCCTATTAAACACAACATTGTAAAGCAATGTGAGCCTGGTACTTAGAGGCACTTGCGCTTGGCTAAAGTCCCCCAAATGCAGCAAGTTTTCATGCTATTGGTTAGTGCTATGGTTTGAATATACTTTTCCCCTTTGACTGTCATCTTGGCATTTAATTCCGTTGTGAAGTGTTACGGGAGTGGAAACTATGGGTATTTAGAGGTAGGACTTTTGGGAGCTGACTGGGATTAGATAAGGTATCAGGTGGGGCTCTGGTGGCTTTATAGGGAGGGGGTTGGAGATGAACCACACAGACATAGACAGACAGACACTGCTCCATCTCTTGCCATGTCATGCCAAAATAAATAACTGTTAAGACTGACTCAATCTGATATTATGTCATTAGGTGATAGACTAAGTAGCAAGAAACTACATAAATTTTCTTTTAAAGGAAAATGAATTGAATTGGTATTTTATTTTTCTGCTTTTTTTCAATGAGGTATTCAGAGGTGGTTTTTTTCTTTTTTGCAGTACTGTGGTTTGAACTCAGGACCTCATGCTTGCTAGGCAGGTGCTCTACTACTTGAGCCACTTCACCAGGCCTAAGATATTCCTAAGTGTGAACAAAACCTCTTTCCCTCACTTCCCAGTCCCTGCCTCGAAAAGGCAGCTTATAGTGATGCTTGGTATGTTATTCATGGATAGATAGAGTTTTGGGGGCATGATGTACAAGTGGTGAGAATTAATTTTTTACAGTGCTTCCTCCTCTGTCTCCCTATGGTAGTTGGAAAGAAGTTTCCATATTCATTTACCTATGAAATCATGGGATTAGGACCCAAGTCCACACAAGAAATTCACTTATGTTTTATATATATCTTATATATGTAGCTTGAGGGTAATTTTTATTGTATGTGGGATAATTTGGTGTAGTATATTTAGTGCACCTGCATTTTGACCTCACATAAGGTGTGGAATTTTTCACCTTCTGGTGTCATGTTATATCCCAAAAGTTTCAGACTTTGAAACATTTTAAATTTCAGATTTTTTTTCAGCCTGCATATCTTTTTAAAAGAAATATCTAAGCTGGGTGCTTGTGGCTCACACCTGTAATCTTGCCTATCTGGGAAGCTGAGACAGGGAGGATCAAGGCCAACCTTGGTAGGGAGTTCACAAAAACCCATCTCAACCAATAACTGAGTGCAATGGTATGTGCCTTTTACCCAAGCTGTGCAGGAGGCTGAGAATCAGGATCATGGTTCCAGGCCAGTCTGGGCAAAAGTTTTGTGATGTCCTATCTCAGTGGGAAAAAAGAACTGGATGTGGTGGCCTGTGCCTGTCATCCCTGTGATGGGGGGAGCTTAAAATATGAGAATTACAGTCCAGGTTGGCTTGGGCAAAAAGCGATATCCTATCTCCAAAAATAACCAGAGCAAAAGAGGGCTGGAGGCTCTCTTTGTATGAGAGCCACAAGGCCCTAAGTTCAAACCCCTATACTGCCAAAAATAAATAAATAAAATATCTACTCAGATACTTAGTGTATGTTTATATTGGGTTTTTGGTCTTTCTGTTTGGTTTTTGAGATAGGTCTTGCTCTGTAGCCCAGGTGGGTCTTGAACTCAATCCTTCTGTCTCAGTCTCCCAAGTGCTGAGATTATAGCTATGTGGCTTTTTTACTTTCTTGTTGGTGTCATTTTCAGTACAAAAGTGACTTTGAAATTTGATGGAATCTGTGATCTGTTTTTGTTTTCTATTGTTGCTTATTCTATTGGTGTTTTATCTAAGAAGCCACTATCTAGTCCATGGCCACAGAGATATGCCTCTGCTTTCTTCTAAGAGTTTTATACAGGTTGGGCATCCCTAATTTGAAAATCTGAAATCCAGGCTCCAGGTTAGCAGTGCTCAACTGCATCCGGTTAAGTCCATGCAAATATTCCAAATTCAAAAATCTCTAAAATCTGCAACATCTCTGGTCCCCCAGTATTTCAGATAATCAACATATGGTTTTAAGCTTTTATATCCTTAGATATTTGATCTTTTTGAGTTAGTTTCTGTATGTGGTATGCGTTCAGGGTCGTCTTCAATCCTTTGCATGTATGTAGCGTCTAATTTTCCTAGCACCATTTATTGGAAGACACTATTCTTTCCCCAATCAATTGTCTTGGCACCTTTGTGGAAAATCATTTTTGATAATGTATTTCTGGACTCTCAAGTCCATTCTATTGTTCTGTATCTATCTTTAGAATTGACATTGTCTTCCAACTTTTTCAACATTGTTCTGGATATTTTTGTGTCCCTTGAATTTCCATATGAATTTAGGTTATTTTGTCTTTCTGCTAAGAAGCCATCTGAAATTTTTGTGAGAATTGCTTTGAATCTGTAGATAAATTGGCAGAAATTATATTAACAATATTAACTCTTCTAATCATTGAAGATGAGGTATCTTTCCATTTATTTAGTTCTTTTCCATCCTGTTTTCTTTGTGGCAGCTTTCATATATGTCTACTGTTATAAAGCTGATGAACTCAGTTTTTGGGGGATGGCAGAGTGGCTCAAGTGGTAGAGTGTCTGCCTTAGCTCCTTTTTATGTTTTTTACTTTGTTTTTCAGATATGTTCTGAAACTGCCTAGGCTGGCCTTCTTTGAGACTTTCTTTTGAGCCATTATTTCTTTTTTGGCTCATTTTTGAGACAGGATCTTACTGTGAACCCCAGCTAGCCTGGAACTACATAGCCCAGGCTGACTTGAAATGTGTAATCCTACTCCCTCAGCTTCCTATGTAACTGGTATTACAGATATGTATCACCATGCCCAGTTTGTTTTTGGGAGAGTTTCTCTAACTTTGCCCATTTGGCCTCAAACTGTGATCCTCCTATCTCTGCCTCCCAAGTAGCTGGGAATACAGGTGTGAGCCACTGCACCCTGCTTTGTTTATTTATTTATTTATTTGAAATACAAAGTATTGCTGTGTAGCCCAGACTGGTTTTGAACTTTCAGTGTCCGAAGTGCTGGGATTACAGGTATGTACCACTGTATCCAGCTTACTGCTTTGTTTAATCCAAATTGTTTTTATATTTTATTTTGAGAAATGTATTTGGTTCTTTTTATACTATGCTTGGTTATTTAGTTTCTTGTTCCTTGTTTTTTTATTTTGAGTTTTACGTTTATTTCCCTTAACATAGTAAGCATTCTTATTTCATAGCTCATAAATGACAGTTTTTGTATCTTTAGTTTTGCAGATCTGAGTCCTTAGCTTTTGTTCTGCTGCTCCCATTTATCCTGCTGTTTCTTAGTGTTTTTTATGCTGTTTAACCAGAGCATCTTCTTTTTTTCTTAGAACTTTATTTGGTGGAATTCTTTAAGGCCTTGGTTGATATTGTAACCTTCCAGGGAGGAGCTGCGTTTGCATCTGCCTATAGTCTTAGGATACAACTTAGCTTTGCCTTAAAATAAATATACCTCTCGAGGTTTTTCAGATAATACAGGTAATGTGCATTTAGGTTGCAGACTGTAGTGAGGGGGTCGTAATTTCTCAGTGGAAATATTTTCTGCTCTGAACAGCATGAAGTGAACAGACACGTTTCCTTACTGTTCTCTTGGGTGGTCATTTCTGTCCTGTACACTGGCGATGTAGCCTGAGAGGTCCTTGGCTGTACGATGGTATTCTGTTAGTCGAGGCAAGTCCTAGATTTCATTGTTGTACCATCCTGTGAAAATTCCACACCCTGTGTGTCCACCAGTGTTTGCTCATGGTGTCTAGCATTTGGCAGGAATCCGTAGGCTTCTCATATGTCCTCTATGGCTCTAGTTTCATTTTATTCTTTTGCCTCTCTGGGTTTATACCAGCATGGCAATAAGTTTTAAAAGAGTTTTAGGTTTTCCTATTTTACCCAGTATCTTAGTAGTCTTGATTGTAGGATCTGTTCAGGGAATCTAATTTCTCATACTGTCAGAATCCATCACATCACGTGATTAACATACTTGTCATTGTGAGTCTGTTCAGTAGTTTTCTTTTTTTATACTTAGTATCTTTGTCTAAGTTTCCTTCTACTTCATTCCTTGCCTATACTTCATTTTTAAGAGCTAGGTCATGTTTTGTGGTTATATCGTAATTTACATGTTCATCTTTGTATTTGCTTGTTTTTCAGTTTCGTGGTTTAAATAGTGGTGCTAGGTATCTATTTAACACATCAATTTAAAGGTCACTTTTTTTTCTCCCGAGGTCGAATTGACATAAAGCAGTTGATAGCAAAGAAGAGACAGCTGGCAGCAGAGGCAGAGGTAAGTAATAGTTTCCTCTTTAGAACCACACAGTTTTAGGAAAGAGATTTTTAGTAACATTTTAAATGTTAAACTGTTTAAAGAGTTGCTCATTTTTCTCATCGGTTGACCTTATTTTGCTATGGAAAATGCACATTGCCCCTTTCTTTCCTGCCCCATTCATCACTGTCATTTTCTGGCTCTTATCAGCAAATCTTGGTTTTAGTGACCTAGGTTAATAGCTGATATAGTTGAAATCATGAGTGCTTTGTGAAAGTACCTCTCATGGTTCACAGTAAATAGGCCTCCAACAAATGTTTAATCAATTTAGATGTCTTGACATGGAAGTAGAACTAACTCAAAAACTACAACATGGAGCCATTTCAAATGGGGACAAATTGTCTTACAAATCATAACTCAGCAGTACCTTCAGGAAATTTTTGAGGACAAAGAATACCTTTTTATTTAATTTTTTGAAAAAAAATTATAATCTAATATCATGTGTGCTTAAATGTAAGGTGATTTCAAATCCAAGGCTCTCTTCCCTTTTTGATGGGAAGATCACTTTCAATGTGTGCTGGCCAAAGTGAATAGATAGTTAATATCCAATATCCAGTGATGTAGATGAAACGGACTTGGTTTAGTTATTACATTGCCTATACATATGCATGTGCACAGGTATTTATATTGAATAATTTAAATTTAGAACATTTAAATATTTTACATAAAAAACGATGTAAGATTATTTATGTTCACTTTGGTATCAGAGTCTTGTTTATTATCAGAGCTAGTTTTTCAGATGTCTTCCAAGGCCAAGGGCATATCATTTTCCTTTCATCTCATTTGTTTGAAATACAGCACTTTTTGAATGCAGGGATGAAGGATGGCGCTATCACTAGAAATATTATTACAATAACTGTTTACTCAACATTGAGATTAAACCCCTGCATTACTCAGTAGGTGTATTTGTGATATCTATAATGTAACCACTTACTGAATTACTTTATAGAGTGGTATTCAAAAAGTGTATTTGCTATACTTGGAGCTGCAAGTCTAGATTTAACTAATAGGTTGTTAAATTTTACTCATTTCTTTTTGCCAATTCCATTACATTGCCTGTATGAGCCTCCAAAACTATAGTGATCAAGGGTATTTCAGACAATGTCTTTTCTGATTAGTACTTTTTGCTCTTCTATAAGGGACTGTTTGAAGACTTGATTATTAGACAGCCTCTTACCTGAGTGACTAAATTTGTAGTTTTGTCTAAGAAAAACAATAGTATATAGGCACAGGTAGTCCCAGGCAAATAGTTCTCAAGACCCTATCTTTAAAAAAAAAAAAAAAAAATCACACACACACACACACACACACACACACAAGGCTGGCAGAGTGGCTCAAGTGGTAAGAGTGCCTGCCTAGCAAGCATAAGGCCCTGAATTCAAACCCTAGTATCTCCAAAAAAATTGGTTTTTGTTTTTATGGTTTACTATAGTGTTTCTGACCTTATTCCTCTTGTAGGCAGGACACCTAGCTTTGTCTTCCTTTCCTTTTCTAATGCCCTTCGTGTCCATTTTGTCCATTGTGCAACCAACCTTCCTTCCTCCCTCCCTCCTTTCCTCTCTCCATCCTTCAAGGTCTTGTTATGTTGCCCCAGCTGGTATCCAATTTATGATTTTATTGCCTTGGCCTTTAGAATAGCTGGGATTACACTGAATGTCACCATACCCAGCTGCATGGTCTTTTTTTTTTTTTTGGTCTTTTGAGGTCCCATTAAGGAGCATTTGTCTACTGCCACGATCACAGTTTACAAACTTTATGACTTTATCAATGGAGGTTGTAAAGTATTTTTTCTCTGCTTTCCTGTCCTTGTTTGTGTAATTCCTTCTCCCTGAGATTTCCTTTAACTTCATACCTTCACCAATCGAATAATGTACTAAAGCCTTCAAATTCAAGATCAAGATCTAGTGCTTGTGCAGTGTTATAAACATTTTTGCTTGAGTTGGCGGAGTGGCTCAAATGGTAAGGGTGCCTGCCTAGCAAGCCCTGAGCTCAAAACCCCAGTACCACAGGAAAAAAAAAAAAAAGATAAACATCCCTGCTTGAAACAGTGTTCTCCTTATTCTGTACTCTTCAGTACCTAGTCTATACCCTTAATATATAGCCTATATTTATTAAATAGTGCTTTGTTCTGGATGAATCTCAACCAGTTTCATTTGGTGAGCCTATAATTTGGTTTAGAAGCATTTTAATTTGCACTTGCTTGATACCTAGTGAAATTAAACATTTTGCAACTTATTTGTTTATTTTGCTACTTGGGATCAAACCTTGTGCATGTTCTGTATGCATTCTAACACTAAGCTACAACTCCAGCCCCACCATTGTTTATTAATTGGGATGTTTATGAATAATATGTAGTCAAACAGTTTGGATAAAATGAGACCAGATAGAATGTCATAATATTCTAGATCAAATAAATAGGGTTAGGTAAGAGAAATGAAAGACATTTAGAAGTCCTGTTGAGCGCCAGACTTTATACTAGGTGCTTTATGTGCACTGTTTTATTTAATTAAATTATCCCAACTTATAAGAGGTCTCTAACTGATTACATTTCTTATTTTTTGCTTTATTGCTACCATAGAATGATAAGGGGATAGATATGTGAACCTTGTTCAGAGCCATAAAATTTGGTTTTTTTTCATATACTAATTTCTTTTCTCTTAGGAATTTAAACATTTTTAAAAAAATAAATGAAAGTCAGGAATCTTTGTAGTCATTTGTAATTTGGTATTGTACTCCAATGCAGTTGTCACACATTGTCATTGGTTGGTCTTCCCCTAATCTTTAACTTTGGACTAGTTGTCTTCAGGGTCCATCATAACACCAGTGGTTGATGTCACCATCATGGAGCTAAAACTTGCTCAGAATCCTTTGCTTCTCATTGTAAAGGGAGTGGGTAGCCTATAAGTCTTACTGGACTGCTCTTTCAGCTTCATGGACTAGAGCTGTCAAATAAAGTACATATGTCTAGTTGAATTTGAGTTTCAGATGAACAATCAATGCTTTTTTAGTTATCATGAAATATTTGAAACACACTTAGATGTAAAAAATTATTTGTCTGACAGACTAAGTGTCCTGTATTTTGGTTTACTAAATTTAGCAACCTACAAAGAACCTCTGAAAATTTAAGACATTTAGACAGAGGAACTCATATTAAGGAAAAGATATGAAGGGGCTGTCATAAGTGCAGAGCAAGCTTTTTGGTCTGAAGGGAAGTGGAGGGAGGAAGGTTGACATTGGTGGGACCATGCATAATTATATAACCTCCAGTCATTGCTTTTTGAAATCCTTAAAATTGTTGTTGTAATAAGACTTAAAAGACCTTGAAACATTCTAAGGGAGAGTCAAATGATTAAAGCCCAACAAGTTTATATTAATAGATCAATTAGCTTTGTTTTAACATTATGTTAAAACTTTGTTTTGGTTGCAAATGACAGAAACCCACTTTGGCTTTTTTAAGCATAAAAGAAAATGTATTTGAAGGGTATTCATGTATGTAATAGAATTCCTGGCAGAAGTTGAGTGCTCAAGTAAGGAGCATTCTAGGAAGGAGCTTATAAGGAAGAGCTTAGATATTCCTTGATATTTCAATTAATAAGTTTTCTATTCTTTTAAAGCTCAGATCTTCAGATCTAGGGGAAAGAGAATTGAATTTTGGCCAGAAGGGCAAGGCTGGATGAATCCATCCTGCTCTGGTCACTAGTCTCTCCTCTGAGTATGGCTTCCACAGAAAAGTGAACATGGTGAGAAGGACAAAGGAGCACCTTTACTATCACTATTTGTGGAACTTTTGTTAATGTACACAATTTTATAGAGGTCTTATGTGAAAATTGAAGGGCTGAAGAAAATTACTTCCTATTTCTGCTTCCTAAATTTATGTGGTGCTGCAGCCTACTCTATTTGCTTCTTACACAGCATTTCAAGTATTGGTTTTCACATCAATACTTTATGCTTTGCCCAGCCATTCATTGAACAAATGGTAGTAATAAGACTCAGGTGGTGTATCTGCAAATGGTTTCTGTGTTTGAGTTGTCCCCTCTAAAATAAAGTTTTTGGCAGTGCTGATCTTTTTGACTTATAGGCAGACTGCTGAAGAAAAAGAGAGACAAATCTAAGTATTTTCTGCCTAGAAATTCTGATTATCATATACATTAAGATTAGGTTTTTCTGTAAGAGTAAGCACAAAAGTAATAGTGGCTTACACAAGATAGAGGTATATTTCGCTCTCCTCTAAATGATTCAGGAGTAGGAAGCCCAGAGTTAGTATGCTGGCTTTATGGTCCTCAGGGACCCTGGTTCCTTTTAGCTTTCTGCTTCACCATTTGTGACTATAATCCTCCTTGGTTTCCACATGGTTCCAGCCATTTTACCTAGGTTCCAGGCAGGAGAGTTGAGGCAAGGAAAGAAGAGGGGTAAGAAACAGGATCAGCTGTCTTTTAAGGAAGTTGTCTGAGATTTTGACAAACCGGTTCCACCTATAATCTCAAGTAGCGAACTACGTGCACTGAGAGATTAGACATTTATTTACTCTGGGCAGTCAGGTGCCCCCTTAAAAATCAGGAGCCTTAGTATTGAGGAAGGGAGCAGGAATGATAGTGTTCAGCGCTAACAGCCTCTACTATGGCAATCTATCTGACTTTGTTCCCCTGGTCCTCTGACACATTCTGCCCTCTTTTGGCCATGCAAGTCTGACTACATTCCTCTGAGATTTCCTTTCTCATTTTACTTAAGTGCATAGGTGTTTGAGACTCTACTGTACTTTGAAGATTTTGGAAAAAGTCAGTTTGTTGTTCTTTATGATTTCATCACTTGAAAAGGTTTAGAAGACACCTGCTCTGTTGCCCTCACAGCAATGTTCAGCAGTTCAGATAAAGATGAGTGAGCTGTCTCAATGGGAGACTGAAGTAGATAAATGTGTTTCAGCTCAGCTTAGCTAATAAAACCTACACAGTTCCTTTATCTTCCATGCACTGGGTTAGGTGCTTGGTCTGTCCTCATGGCGACTGAGAACTACATGTGTAAAATGGATAAGAGGAACAGTGACTGAGTTAGATACCCTGGAAATATATTTTAAAGTTATAGCAATTTTTATATGTGAATACTAAATATATCTATCACATTTACCCTCATTCCTTGTGGCCACTGGTGCCCATCATACTCTAATCAAAATAAACCCCCTCCCCCACTTTACTTATTCTTTCTCTATCACCATGCTCCCCTGATATTTAAAGAACTAAAAATTCTTAAATCATGATCTGGTCTCTCCTAAATTTTCCCATCTTACCTCTGAGCTCTCGTGCCTGTAACAAGTGGTCTAATCACAGAGTCTTTGTTTTCACATTGTCATTCTTTATCCTTGGACTCTTAGAGATGATGTAATTCAGCTACTTATTTAAAAGAAAGATGTTGTGGTTTTGGGTTTTTTTTTTTGGCAGTACTGGGGTTTGAACTCAGGGCCTAATGCTTGCTTGGCAGGCACTCTTGAGCCACTCCACCAGTCCTTAGCTACTTATTTAAAATTAAAGGTTTCTTGAGCTCTAAAATATAGTGATTCTGTTTACTAGATTATCTAAGTACCTTTTCTAGTTTGTAGTAAATTTACTGCTTCTCTCCCTCCTTCCATCACTCTATCCATTGTGGTCCACTGACTGAATGAAATTAGTATTATGCAAATCAACATGGTTTTAAGGTTACTTGTTTTAGACATTACTCAGATTTACTGTAATCACATTTTGAAATTCTAACAACAGTTTGATGTGATAGAAGAACTAGCAAGAGGGCAAAAGTGGACTACTTCTCCTGTGTTTTTTATATTCCCTCTTAAAAAGAGGAACAGTAATAAGTCACTTTTTGGGGGAGGTTGAATTCAGGGCTTCATGCTTACTAGGTAGATGTTCTACTGTTTGAACCACTGCCAGTTTTTTTTTTTTTTTTTTTTTGTGTGTTGGGTATTTTTGAGATAGGGTCTCCAGAACTATTTGCCTGGGCTGACTTTGAACTGCGATCCTCCTGGTCTGTGCCTCCCAAGTAGCTAGGATTATAGGCATAAGCCACTGGTGCCTGGCTAGAAATCACTCTTTATTATCACTACTAGGATTTTTGAAAGGAGTTTAAGGCAACTTAATGGTTGCCTCCACAGAATTCTTCCTGGTGTCCTAGTAGCAGCAATGTCTACCAACTTTAATTCCTCAGAGGAAAAAGGGAAAGGCATTAAGATACAAATATTAGGCATCTAATTATGCTATATATGAGAATGTGGTAAATTTAAATGGCTTCCTTTAAATGGTTACCTGAAGTACCCGTTTGTGAATTTAATTCAAGGTAGGGGGAACCCATGAATTCATCCAATTGAAATAAGAACCTTATAGGCTCAGCACACCCAAGCAATGTTTTACACTGTGTGTGTGTCAGAGATTGGGATTATAGGGAGGTAAGAGGAACATACAAGGACATTTGAAGCCCACCATTTTGTACTACTACCCCTCACACTGGGGTTTGAACTCAGGACCTGTACCTTGAGCCACTTCACTATCCCTGTTTTGGTGATGGGTTTTTTTCGAGATAGGGTCTCTCATACTATTTACACAGGCTGGCTTCAAACTGCAATCCTTCTGATCTCTGCCTCCTGAGTAACTAGGATTACAGGCATGAGCCACCAGCACCTGGCCCCGCTGGGATTTTAAATTCCATGAGAACAGGGACTTAGGAGAGTGTCAAAAACTGGACCAGCCCTTAGTGGAATGAAGGAATCCTTTCCCTTCTCTTTCAGTATATTTTTCCACGGGACAAAGCTATTTATTTATAGATAAAATTCTAGAGCTTAAATGATAAAAGAACCTCTTTTCTTTATGCAGCTTTTATTTATTTTTTTATTGTTGTGCTGGGTGGGGGTACATTGTGGCATTTACAAAGGTTCTTAAAATGATATATAATACTTGAATTCACCCCCTCCACTGCTCTCTTTCATCCTTCCCCCCATTCTTGATTTCAACAGTTATCATTTTTACATTTACATACATGTGTATACATTATTTGCACTGTATTCATCCTCCTACCCCTTTCCCTGCCACCCCACCTCCCTCATCAATGCCAACCTCCTCTCCCCCTCCCTCCTCAGAATCTTTTCCACTCTTCTGTTCTACAATTTTGTAGAAGAGAAAATATAAAAGGTACAGAAACATGGCGTTTTTGCTGGTTTGAGATAAAGATAGCTACACAGGGAGATTCCTTGTGTTGTTTCCATGCACATGTGTGTTACAACCCCAGGTGGTTCATTTCTACCAGTCCTCTTCACTATTCCTTAGTCCCCTTCCCATAGTGGCCTTGACCAGTTTAAGATTACTGTGTTTGTTCCTATACTGTGAGCACATCAACCACATTCAAATTTTTGGTTTCCTTCCCTTGCCCTATCCCTCCACTGCATGTCCAATAATATTGCTGCATTTGTTTTAGATCTATAATCTGCATATGAGGGAGAACATATGATTTTTAGCCTTCTGAGCCTGGCTAACTTTGCTTAAGATGATGTTCTCCAATTCCATCCATTTACCATCAAATGACAAAATTTCATTCTTCTTTGTGGCTGAGTAAAATTCCATTGTGTATAAATACCACATTTTCTTAATCCATTCGTCCGTAGTGGGGCATCTTGGCTGTTTCCATAACTTGGCTATTGTGAATAGTGCTTATGCAGTTTTTATTTGATTTGTTTGTGACTGGGTACTTGCTTCCAGTTAAGCAAATTTCACAGTGAAGTTGGGCATAAAACTGGAATGGCACAAAGGAAGGAACTAAAATATCAGTAGATACTGTCAATGTGAAAAAGCAGTTTTATAGAAGCTCTGTTCTCTTCTCCAGGACCACACGTCCTTTCTGTGAGTGAAGCTCCTCGCACTTGCTGCACTCTGCTTCTCAGCACATTGTTCCTTCTTTTCTTCAGTTCCTCTAAATTCATCCTACCAGTCGTTTTGAGGTTTCAGCTCAAAAAAATCTCCATTCAAGCTCATGCTTGCTAAGGTCTTACATTCATGTTTTTTCCATCTCTGATGGTGGTCTCCCTTGCTCAGGGGACACTGACTGTGTGCCATTCATACATGCATGTCCTGTATTATCCAATCTCATCACTGTTTTGGGAGAGCTGGGACCTTAGTGTATTTTCACTGCCCAGGACCCAGCAGGTGTTTGGAGGCTCTAGGACAAGAGCACCATGAAAGTCTTCACATAGTTCATTACCTCCATTTTTTGGGCTTTGCTTTTAAAGGACATGCCCAAGTCTTTTGGTATAGCAGAATCTAGAAAAATGCTATTTTAGACCTTTTCAGTGAAGCTTAAATAATGTAGTCTGGGAAAAAATCATTTCTTCCTTGAAGACTTAGTGAATTAACACGTTTTCTTTATGCAGGTTAAGTATTCCAATTAAAATACTCAAATTTAGCTTGGCACTTGGTGGCTTACACCTTTAATCTTAGCTACTTGGGAGGATCATGGGCAATTAGTTATCGAGACTCAATCTCCAAAATAACCACAGCAAAATGGACTGGAAGTGTGACTGAAGCAGTAGAGTGCCTGCTTTGCAAGCATGAAGCCCTGTGATCAAACCCCAGTCCCACCAAAACCAAAAACACTCTAAATTGCAATTTGAACATCTGTAGTAGGTGGCCTATTATAACATGAAGAAGTATTTTTTTTACTTCATAATTTTCACAAGCTGAAGTAAAGTTTTTTAAGATATTAAGACTAATCAGAGACTAAAAAGTGTAACAAGTATACATATATATTCATACATACATGTATATAACAATTTTTTAAAAATGTTTAGGGTTTCATAAATACCTCGCTGTGGAGGTAGGAATAGCATTGTATAAATGTAGGTGTGATACAGAATGACAGGCTCTAAAATGTAAATGGTAGGTACTTGGGATGAAAGGATTGCTTTAGAAAAAAGGAGACTTAAAGTTATGGTAATTATATAATGTGCATATAGTACATTAAAATTTGTATTTTTCTAAATATAAAAAGAATCTCATTTTTATCATTCTGTAATTTTGATTCTGTGTATCATTAATAGAAGTTCATTTAGTAGGTGGTTACTTTGGTATATTAATTTATGCTTAAAAAGTATATACATCTTAAAGGATATCAAATCACTATATTGCTTTTTCAGCAGCCATTTCTGAAACTACAAGTCGACTGTAGAAGTTTTTTTCAGCTGCTACTCCTGTGAACTCACTTATTTTTCTTTTTTTTTTTTTTATTCATTTATTCACATGTACATACATTGTTTGGGCCATTTCTCCCCGCTGCCCCTGCCCCTTCCCTCTCCCCACCCTCTCCCTTCTAGGCAGAACCTGTTCTGCCCTTACCTTTAATTTTGTTGAAGAGAAGACATAAGCATAATGAGAAAGACAAAGTGTTTTTACTAGTTGAGCTAAGGATAGCTACACAGAGAGATTCCTAGCATTGCTTCCATGTACAAATGTGTTACATCCCAAGTTGATTCATCTCACTTACTTTTCAATGGCATTCTTCTGAATGGGCTCTGCTAAAGGGAGCCCTTTAGAAAAATGCTAATGACCTTAGCTTTTCCTTTATTTGTTTTATAACTCCAGGAATTGAAGCCACTTTTTTTGAAAGAGGTTGGCAGTCACCTTGATGATTTTGTGACCAATCTCATTGAAAAATCTGCATCCTTAGACAATGGCGGGTGTGCTCTCACAACTTTTTCTATTCTTGAAGAAATGAAAAGCAACCACAGAGCTAAGTAAGTATGTATTACTGTCTGGTTATCAAACATCTACTCCAGTATAGCTCAGTGGCCAGAATGTGGACTGTAGGAAAAGTGACTGAGTTCACACTTGCATCCTTTTTTACTGGCTGCATGTTGATTGGGAAAGTTATTTAATACCTTGAAGGTGGATTTTTCCTTTCTTAATATGTGGACTATAATGCACACACATACCTCTTAACACTATTAACTGACAAAATAATAGAACCAACACTTGCTGAGTACTTTACGTGGTGAAACAGTGACCTTCATTATGATACTATAGCACCTGCATGTTGCAGATTGGTGCACAAATAGGGAATGTTGTCCAGGATTACCCAGCAGGGGTTTGACCCAGAGTTTGGCTCTAGAGCCCTTGGTCCTCCATTCTGTGACTCTCTTGTGCCCCATAATATAGTACTTGTAATAAAGTATAGTGCAATTGGTTTCCACTTGGTCAGTCATCCATAATAATAGAGGAAGGCTAATCAAAGGCTAACGTTTGCCCTTCTGGGCTCTCCTCAGTTTTATGGCCTGTGGTCTCCTGTCCTGGAGAACAGTTTTGAGCAGTAACAGTTGACAGCAGTGCTTGTGCTGCTAAAAAGAGCCCTAAAGAAGATGATATGCTGTGTGTTAAAATGTGAATTTTCAGTACTTGGAGTTAGTTAACCAATAAGATCAGGAGCTATTGAGAGTTGTTGCAAGCCCTTGACATTGGGAAGGATAAATCAATAGTAGTATATGACCTGGAGTAAAATGTGGCTGGAGGCCTGTCCATGGCCTTAGAGTACCTCTAGGACTGGGAATTCTGCCACCATGTGCTTGCTGTAGGGAGTGCCTGTCTCTAGGGGCTGGGAATAGAGATCCTTTGAGTAGCGCTTCAGGTAGGCGAGCATTCCTATTATGCATTCCTGTTGCCTACCTCAGAGCATCGCTAGCCCAGTACCCACCACAGTGAAAAGGTAATAATGTTAGGTGTTATAGTTGTATTCTTTCTTGCATGGGTGGGATTAAGTTTCTTACAGTACTTGAACTTTCATTGTAATTTTTTTGTTCTTTCCAGAGATCTGAGAGCACCTCCAGAACAAGGGAAGATTTTTATTGCAAGGCGCTCTCTCTTAGAGTGAGTATTTTTTGTTTTTGTTAATTATGAGTTTGAAATTAAAAAAAAATTATCTTAATTAATAGAATCACTGCTTAGTCTATGAATTTTTAGTGAGTTTTTCTGTATCCAGAAAATGTTACTTTTTGCATGTGTGAAGTCTTGCTCCTTTATGCTGATCCTCTGGTTCTGTCTCTAGTATCAAAGGAGAGTTAGGGACTAGAACAGCCCCTGCCCTCTTACAGACTGCAGAGAATTGTTTGTTTGCTAAAGAATTAGAACAGAAGTTTTCTAATTCGATAAACCACTCTGAGACAGTTTTGGAGTTGCTGCCTACTTACTGTGTATGTTTTCCCATCTCTTTTCTGGTGAGAATTTTTGTAAAGTTACATACTTATTTTAAAACGCTGATTGCCTAATCTGTTTAAAATGATGTCCACATGATGTAAATTCATTGTGGTGACTTCATTTTGTGAACTGAAAGTCAGAGCTGTGCTTTGGGTAGGAGAGGTCTAGTTTTTTCATGCTCTGTTGGATCATTCACCCATTCAGTTCTTCATTGGAATGCTGCTGAAATTTAACCTGCATTAGTACAGGTCCTCTAAAGTGGTTGGTTGGTAAAAATTATGTTAAGTGTCTAATGTACTTTTCTTTAAAAATGCACCTTTTATTAAAATTCTGCTTTATGAGCCAAACTGATCAGTGCTTCTAAACTTTGATGAGAAGGCCACAGTTCTGTAAACATGTAATGAGAACTTCTGTTTCAGTGTCTGAAGAGATCTTTTAAATTTTATATTAAAATTTAAAATGCAGGAAATGGAAATTTAAAATCTTAAAATTTAAAATAGGGAATTGCAGGCTTTTCACATAAAGGGAAAATAAAACAATTATTTTTAAACATTATAATTGTGACTTTTGATATTAATACCATGTAAAATAAAATTAATATATTCTTTAATTTAAAAAAAATTCAGCCAGGGAAGTAGAACCCATTTTCTATGGCTTAGATGGATTTTTATTAGAATTTAAAGATCCTCACTTCAAATATTTAATTATATTTTATAGTCTATAAAAAAACTGTAAATGGTTTGTACAAATGGTTTGATGCAATGGTTTGTACCTGTAATCCCAGCTACATGGGAGGTGGAGATCAGGATTGAGGTTTGAGGCCAGCCTAAGCAAAAAGTTCGTGAGACCCCTATGTCAACAAATAAATCAAGTGTGATGCACATGTCTGTAATCCTAGCTGCACAGGAGGCATAGGTGGGAGGCACTGGTAAGATGATTGCATCTGAGGCCAGATATTCGAAAAATAGCTAAAGTTAAGAAAGGGCTGGGGGTGTGGCTCAAGTGGCAGAGCACCTGCCTAGTAATCCTGAGGCCCTGAGTTCAAATCCCTGTACCACATGAACATACCAAAAGTCATTTAAACCATTAGCATACCACTTTCTAAAAACAAGGTTAAAACACTGATGTTTGTCAGACATAAAAGACATTTATTTAAGAAAAGTCATCTAGAAGGTCATTGCTGTGCTTTAGAAGTAGCTCAGTCTTAAATACCAATCAGTGAGGAGATAGTAAAAGCATTTGTAAAAGCTTCAATTTTCTAGATGTGTGGGTAGCTGGCTATCATTCTCCACATGGGAACTCAAACGAGTCAGCTAGTATATGTAAGTTAGTTATGGAACTAAAGAGAAAGTTGGGTTGATGGAGTGGCTCAGATGGTAGAGCACCTGCTAACAAGTGTGAGGCTCTGAGTTCAAACCCCAGTGCTGCCCCCCCACCCTCCAGAAAAGAAAGTTAGAAGTTTCATTGCTTTTATTTTTAAAATGCTGCATTCTAATACAGTGAAATGTAAGGAAAGGATTTAAAAAAATCTGCAGAAGCATCTGGAATAGTTTCTGTATTCCGTTTTCAGCCACTGTCCTCTGCTTACATTCAACAGCTGTTGCAGGCTGTTTGTTTTTTTGGTGTGTGTGTGTGTGTGTGGTATCCATTGCTGTTTTCTAGGAGGGAGTATCATGTTATTGGAAAGAATGGTTAAGAATACATTATGTTCTTACCTTGGTCATGTCATTTCATGTCTTTGTGCTTCAGGGCTTTTTTAAAAAATAGGTTTGCATTTTTTATTATCGTATAATAATTGCACGAAATGGTATATTCATGATGACATTTCATACAACTGCATGATATACTTTGGTCATATGCACCCCATCTTCCTCTTTCGTTCCCTTCCCATTGCTGTGCTCCTTCCATTGCTATAATGGTGCCCCTTCTGCATTTGGATCTTTTCATTTTGTTTTTTGGTCTAGCTACTTCAAGTTTGATATTGTGGGTTTACTGGTTTTTTTTGAAGTGGTTTTGAACCATGGGCATAGCATCTTCTAAAGTGCTTTAAAGAGTCTTTTTTTTCATTGTTGTGGTACTGTGGTTTGAACTCAGGGCCTACACCTTGAGCCACTCTACCAGCCTCTTTTTGTGATAGTTTTTTTCGAGATAGGGTTTCTCAAACTATTTGCCCAGGATGACTTTAAACCTTGAATCTCCTGATCTCTGCCTCCTGAGTAGCTAGGGTTACAGGTGTGAGCCACCAGCACCTGACTGTAAAGAGTCTTGACTGTGTGGTGTTTTGAAATGAAGTAAAGATAACTAGTTGGATTTGTCTGAACTACATTTGCAGTGAGTTGTTTGAAGTGGACCACATCAGAACAATTTATCACATGTTTATTGCCCTCCTCATCATCTTCATCCTCAGCACACTTGTGGTGGATTACATTGATGAAGGGAGGTAAGTCAGCCAGGCAAGTGACTGGGGAGTTGATGCATAAAAGGTGGGAATTTTGGTAAAGGGTAGTTTGGCTACATTTGCTTCAAAAACCCTAAAGCTGTTCACTTGGAGATATCCCTGCCTCCTAAAAAGTATAAAATGCTCTATTTTAATAGACTGTCGTCAGTAGTTTCCAGGAAACTGGCCAAGCGGGAGAATTTTGTATATATGTTTTACCGATTTTTCTTGGTATACATTTAAGATTGTTACTTACATTAAGTAGTTTACCTGTATTTAAGGTTGAAAAAAGTGATGTTTGTTTGTTTTATTTTTTTGATGCAGAATCTGCTGTGTAGCCCAGGCTAGCCTAGAACTTTTGATCCTCTGCTTCAGCCTCCTGAGTGCTGGAATGATAGGCACGAGCTTGTTGTGACTGAAATATTCTTTTTTTTTTTTTGCTGGGACATAGAGCTTCACACTTGCAAAGCAGGCACTCTACCGCTTGAGCCATGCCTCCAGTCCATTTTGGTCTGGTTATTTTGGAGATAGGGTCTTGTGAACTCTTTGTCCAAGTTGGCTTTGAACTGCAATCCTCCCAATCTCAGCCTCCCAAGTAGCTAGGATTACAGCTATGAGCCATTGGCACCTAGGTAGAATGTTTTCTTTTTAATATAAAATCAATTATGACATAAAAATGATAGTATAGCCAGCTGCTGGTGGTTCACCCTGTAATCCTAGCTACTCAGGAGGCAGAGATCAGAAGGATTGCAATTTGAAGCCAGCCTGGGCAAATAGTTCAAGAGACTCTATCTCAAAAAACCCTGTCACAAAAAATTGGGCTGGTGGAGTGGCTCAAGGTGAAGGCTCTGAGTTCAAGCCCCAGTACCGTGTGCAAAAAAAAAAAAAAAAGATAGTATAATAATCATAAATTGAATTCTGTGCTTTTTTTTTTTGCAGAAACTATAAGATTATTAATTTACATAGTATATTAATAGACTTTTGAGTTATAACTTCCTTCTGAAAATCTTTTGTATAAAAATAATAATGGTTGCCATTGAATACTGAAGTTTGAACTCAGGGCCTCACACTTGTTAGGCAGTGCTCTTACCGCTTAAGCCACTCTGCCAATCCTGTGTTGAGTATTTTCGAGATATTTGCCTGGGCTGATCTCAAACCTCTATTCTGCTGATCTCCTGATGTGAGCCACCAGTGCCCGGCTGAAATGTAAAAATATTAATGTGAGAATCTAATCATTCAGTTCAGAGCCTTATTGTTTTAGCTGTCTTAAGTTGTGAGGGATATTAGGCTTTTAGAAAGTGTGTTGTTGATATCTAGTGTGATGCAGAGGGCTAGGAGCAGGTCTCTATGTAGCAGAAGTATTCTGTCCATGACTTTAATGTATTCATGTTGTGGTTTTTAAGGCTGAGCGTTTGGGGTCTGAGAGTTCTGAATTCTGTGAATCTATGTATATATTCTCTCACTCACGTGTGTGTTCTTTGTGCTGTCTCTCCAGGCTGGTGCTTGAGTTCAATCTCCTGTCTTATGCTTTTGGCAAGCTTCAGACTGTTGTTTGGACATGGTCGGCCATGTTCCTGTCTACACTTTTCATTCCCTATTTCCTGTTTCAACACTGGGCCCGTGGCTACAGCAAGAGTTCTCATCCATTGATCCGTTCTCTTGTCCATGGCTTGCTTTTCATGGTGTTCCAGCTTGGAATTCTAGGTTTTGTACCAACATATATTGTCTTAGCATACACATTGCCACCAGCTTCCCGGTTCATTGTTATCCTTGAACAGGTAAGATTTTCAGTGTCACCCAACACAATGTCATGCTTAGTCAAAGTAATATTAATAACAATACTGACACTATTATATTTAGCTGTGTTAACTTGAGTAAATATTCACATTCAACTCTTTGTGTCATTAGCTATAGAATTAAAGTGTTAAAATAGATCATCACATCTTTTAAAATTCATTCTAGCTTCAGTGTTCTCTGGTGTTAGCAATTGAAATAAGTTCTATTGAGCTGTTCTGAATAAATTAAAATTTTTTCCTGATACTTTTTGAAAGTTACCCTAGATTATAAAACATGTTGTAATTAAAAACTTTACTTTTGAAGTGTTGGGCTAATCACATTGTCATGTTAACTGTTCCTGTCTAGGTAAGAGATTTGTTTATATACCTTTCAGAATTTTTTCACTCATATTGACAGTCTGTAATACTCCATTTAGCTAACAGGGAGCAGGAATTCAGTATACTATCTTTGAGCAGATTTTTTTTTTTTTTTTTTTTTTGGCAGCACTGAGGTTTGAATTCAGGGACTCACGCTTCCTAGGCAGGCACTCTACCACTGAGCCACTCCACCAGCAATGAACAGATTTTTAATTTCTTAATTAAGTGCAAAACAATTGGAGTAATTACACGTATTTCGTTGGAAGGTTTTTCAAAAACTTTGCTTTATTCCAAAAAGTGAACTTGGGTTGGTATATACAAAATTAAGAAATTCTTTTGGGTGAATATAATCTCATGCAGTTCTGAAGTTGCTTATGGGTGGCAAGACAGCGATAGAAAATTTGTGTTTTCCTCCCCTTCCTTTTTAGATTCGTTTGGTAATGAAAGCCCATTCATTTGTCAGAGAGAATGTGCCACGGGTATTAAGTGCAGCGAAGGAGAAATCAAGTATGTATCTCCTTATTTCAACTTGCACTTACTGGGATGAGATATCACATTCTATACAGATTATGTTGAGTTTAGATATATAGGGTCCATGTTGATTCAGAAGACTACCTCACTGCTTCCTGATTATAGGTGTAAGGTTAAAACAGGAATAATTTTTTTTTTAATTAATCATCAGTCTCTTCTGTAACTTAGCATTCATGGAATGTTAATAGCCTCATCACACCTTTGCCTGCTTACTCTGCAAATTGTTCACTCTCAAGAACTTGCTTTAGTCATAGAAATGGCGCAGAGATTGGTAACATTGAATTAATGCAAGAATAGGAAGTCATTTTAGGAGCTCAAGAAGAAACAACATGGACCAAGACAAGAGGTCACGCTGTGCTTCCCTGTTCTGTGCTTCCTTTTCTTTTTTTGTCCTTTTAATTTACTGGGAGGAATCAAAGAACTTGGGATGTACTATAGTTTTCCTTTTCTAGGCACAGTTCCAGTACCCACAGTCAACCAGTATTTGTACTTCCTGTTTGCTCCTACCCTTATCTACCGTGACAGCTATCCCAGGTAACAGCACTAAGGGGCAGAACTGTGTCAAGCACCAGAGGCATGGCCCAAACTTGGGGCTAGGTGGGCAGGGGCCAGTCCATGTAGGGATAAACAGAAAATAGAATGTGTTCTCATTTTCTCTCTGACATAGGAAGCTTCAAATGGTCATTGGAGTAGTCTAATTTGATAATAATTCTTGAAAGAACATAATTTTTTTTTGGCTTGCTAGGCAGGTGTTCTACCAGTTCAGACACTCCACCAGCCTTTTTTTTGTCTTAGGTATTTTTAAGATAGGGTCTCACTTTTGTTCCCTGGGTTGACCTTGAACCATGATCCTCCTAATAGCTAGGATTACAGCTGTGACCCCTGGTGCCTGGCCATAAATGATATTTTTTAAAAAAGTTTTTGGTGCTTGGGATGAGATCCAGGCCCTCATGCCTGCTAAGTACATGATTTACAACTGAACTTCACCCTCAGCTCATAAATGATATTCTGTATGGAAAAATATTAATTGTGAGGGTTTTTATTTTTAAAGTTGAAATATTTACTGTAGAAAACTTATTTCTTCTTTTCTAGAACTCCCACTGTAAGATGGGGTTATGTTGCTATGCAGTTTGCACAGGTAAATTTTTTTTAACTGTCTAAGGTGTGTTTAGGGAAATGGGGATTCATATTTAATCTACTTAAAATGTTGGTAAATTTATGTCAACAGGGAGCTCAAAAATGCTTTCTGTTGAGACTATGAAACTTTGAAACTATTCTGATTACAGTATATATGGTGACTGTATTGACAACTTAAAAAGTAACTTCCTTCAATAAAATAAAGTATTGTTGTAATAAAAGTAATTCCATTTGGTTATTTCAGTCAGCATTGATGTTACTTTTCCCTTCTCTATTTCTCTGGGGAGGGGTGTGTATGAGTGTGGGTGTGGTCTGACACTTCCTGACTCCTTCCCTACTCCTTTATCAGAATTATAAATCCCAGAAGAGCCCATTTAAATTCTACTTCAATCAAATATCCATTCATAAAATAAGTCATTTTGTTACAGGCTTCACACAGTAGGAAAAACAGGTTCTTAGATGATCTTTCTAATGCTATTTTGGTGCTGGGCATGGTGGCACACACCTGTAATTTCAGCACTGAAGAGACTGAAGCCAGGAGGATTGTGAGTGAAGGCCAGCCTGAGCTACATTTTGAGGCCTTTTAAAAAAGGGGAAAAAAAAATCATTTGGTAAAGGCCTAAGAAAAGTTACGGTAGGAGGAACTGGGCTTGAGTAATCTGTCTGAAGGATTATAGCAATCTTATACACTAAGGTCAAGTGGGATGTACCTGTAACATTAGTTGAAGGGTCCCATATCTACTTTCTTATGGAGGAAAAGCATTACCATCCACTTTCCTTCCCAAACCATCATCATTATTACTACTGGTGCTGTGTTGTAGGTTTTTGGTTGCCTATTTTATGTGTACTACATCTTTGAGAGACTCTGCGCTCCCTTGTTTCGGAATATCAAACAGGAGCCCTTCAGCGCTCGTGTTCTGGTCCTGTGTGTGTTTAACTCCATCTTGCCAGGTAACGTGGGCACTTGTTAATTTGGCTGCTGCCTGTGAGAACCTTTGGTTTTCCTGCTTCTTTCTATAAACGTATCTACATATACCCATCTTAACTTCTCTGTCTAGCTCAGAAATGAAGTGTCCTTCCAGTTTTACGCCAGTCTTTCCATTCATCTACTGACTTTCACCTAAATTTTGCTTTCTCTGATGGCAGACACTCTGTATTTGTGCTTTATCTTCTTTTTCACTATATGCTTCACTATAATCTTGCCTGTAACCTCACTAGGCCACTAAAACACCGTCTGTTACAATCCTTTGTTAAAATCACTAAAAACCTCCTGGTTTTAAACCTACTAGGTGGTGTAGCACTTATCCAGTGTGGCCTCATGATGAAGCATTGGGTGCTCTAACCACATTTTGAAATCTCACTTGCCACTATTTTTATTTTTTAATTTTTGGTGGCACCAGAGTTTGAACTCAGGGCCCTGTGGTTGTTAGGCAGGTACCCTACCATTTGAGCCATACTCCTACCCCTTTGTGCTTTAATTATTTTTCAAATAGTATCATGACCATCCTGGACTGCACTCCTCCTAGCTGGGATGGCAGTTGCAGGCTACCATACCCAGTTTTATTGGTTGAGATGGGGTCTTGCTAACTTTTTGTCTGGGCTGGCCTCAAACCACAATCCTCCCAATCGCCACCTCCTGAGGAGCTATACTTTCAGGTGTAAGCACCACACTCAGCACTTGCCAGTGTTTCTTATGTTGTTTTTCCATCCATGCCTCCATCTCTTAACTTCATTCCAAATATTTTTTTTTCCTAGAGATATGAGTACTTAACTGGGTGCCAGGTGCTGAGGATTCAGCAGTGAACAAGATACATGCAGTCTTTATGCTCAGGGAGCTCACATTTGATAGTTCTGTTGACTTACTCTTCCTTTTTTTTTTTCTACTCACTAAATGTTGGTAATGTTTTCTCATCACCATCTCTCCTTTTTCTTTTTCACAGACTTCTTCCAATAACCCTCCTTAACTGCTCCCTAGACTTATTCTTCATCTGTCCCTGTACAAGGATTTGTGTTACATACATAATTGGATGTCTTCGTCATTAGGCTGCAAATTCCTTGAGCTCAGGGTTGTATTAAAGCCAGTCACAGCCTATCCCATATTGTCTGGCACATAGTAAATGCTCCATAGATATTTTTAAGTAAGTGAATGAAATAGGTGGACATGTAAATGGGTATTTTATAATATAGTGTAATAATACTATGTAAAGAGGATAAACAAAGTGTTGTGGACTTCATTTCATAATGGAGATGACATTTAACATTGGGTATCAAAAAACTTGTAGACATTTGCCTGGCAGAGAAGTGGGGGGGAGGTGTTTTAGGGAATGGGTTGGATATAAAGGCATGGAGTATTTGGAATGGCAGAAGTCCAGTTAGGGAGGATGTTTACAGCACTGAGGATGGAGTTATTGGAAATAAGTTTAGATCAAGATATGTTAACTTTGTGATTAGTTTTGGGCTGAATAATTCTTTGTTTAGGTGGCTCTCTTGTGCATTGTAGGGTTTTGCTAGTATCCTGGCCTCTAACAACTACTTACTAGTGACATAACCCTGACTTCCAGTTGTGACAATCAAAACTATCTCTGGAATTATCAAATATCCCATAGAGGGAGAAGAAGCAAAATCTCCCAGTCTTGCAGGGCCAGTGGCTCATGCCTGTAATCTTAGCTACTCAGGAGGCAGAGATCAGGAAGGTCACTGTTCAAAGCCAGCCTGGGCAAATAGTCTGTGAAACTCTATTTCAAAAAAAAAAAAAAAAAAAAAAACACACAAAAAGAGCTGGTGGAGTGGCTCAAGGTGTAAGCCCTGAGTTCAAACCCCAGTATAGGGGGTAGAAAAAAAAAAAAAAAAAACTCCCGTTTTTAAACAATTTGTTTAGAGGGATATTATGGAGGTCAGATTTTAAAGGGACTTGGGTAGTAAATTAGGCTATATATCAAGGCATTTCTTAAAAACAGACTGGGTCATTTGTTGTCTATTAAACCCACTTGGAAGGAGGTTAATGCTTTAAAAAAAAACCTTTAAAGTTACACTTTATCTTCTCTGAAATGGGTAAACTGGAATTATTTTACATTTTGCAAAATAATCCTAGCTAAATAATGATGTCATATAATTAATGGCTTTGGTATGTGAGCTATCTGGAAAGACTTCATATTGTTAATCTTATTTTTAGGTGTGCTGATACTGTTCCTTTCTTTTTTTGCCTTTTTGCACTGCTGGCTCAACGCCTTTGCTGAGATGTTACGCTTTGGTGACAGGATGTTTTATAAGGTAACATATACTTAGTCTCATCTTTCTTTTCACATTTTATTTCTTCATTGTTAGTGTTCAGGTGTTGTTAGCTAGTATTACCAGTTTTTTGACACAAATATGGTAATTTTCCACAAATTTTATAAAAATTAAGTCTGAAATTCTAATACAGATATGGTTAATGTAACCTCATCTTTTCTTCTACCTCTAATGTCTACTTCCTTAACACAGCATATGGTTTCTACTGAATCCTATGAGCACATGTTTGTGCTTATGGTGGGAAAGCATTGTCCAGAGTATGATGACACTTCCCTGATTGTTCCTTCATTTGAAATTGGCTGTCTAGTTGTGTAAGAGTGATCTCTGCAAATTAGTCCACTTAAGAGAGCTGAGCAGTTCCTGAGGGAAATAATTTTTCTTTCCTTTATTTTAAAAGGTATTGATTCTACTTAAAATAGTATTGTTACACTTCTGCACCAGACATGGTCATGCATGCCTATAATCCTAGCACTCGGGAGGCAGGAGGATCACAAGTTTGAGGCCACCATGGGATACATAGTAAAACCCTGTCTCAAAAAAAAAGATAATATTCTTAGACTTCTGAAGTTGAGTAGAGCCAGAGTAGTTCATAGTGTCTATAAACACTATCTAAAGTCCTTGAGTTTTGTTGTTTTAGCAATACTCTACCACTCCTTTATCAAAGAAACAGTTAAGTGTGGAATACAAATTTTAGTTGTCTGATTCTGTTAGCCTGATATTAAAATTGGGAGCAAGAAATACAGAAAAGGATGGAGGTAGCCACCATCTCACTCCTTATGTAATTAAGTCTTGCCATTTGTAATAGCACCAAATAGCTCTTTTGTGTCAGTGTTTGATCTAGTCTTCATGACTTTACAGTTCTCTCATTATGTTTTAGTGAGGTAGAGAGGGGAGTTACTGATTGCTACTTAGGTGAACATTAGATTTAAATGATTCCGTATTTTCCGTCGTAACTTGTTTGATAGTAAGACAAAATGAACCTGGGGAGTGAATCACATGTAGCACTAGAATAATGTATTGAACACTAGTAACCAAAATGTCTCTTAAGATTTTTCTGGTATCAGTGTATGGACTAATGATTTTTCACACTACACTCTGGGTTTTATGTCATGTGTGTATATTTAGTGGGGATATTCAGGGGTTTGCTTTGGGTAAGTGTGTATAATTTTATACCTGTATTTTTTTCCCTCAGGATTGGTGGAACTCCACATCATACTCTAACTATTACAGAACCTGGAATGTGGTCGTCCATGACTGGCTGTACTACTATGCTTACAAGGACCTTCTCTGGGTAAGCAGCAAGAGTTAGCTGATGCCATTTAGTTAAGACATGGAGATGCTTTTCCAGAAAGTATGAGTATTGTGCAAGCTGGAAGAAGTTACACTTAATTGCTCATGAAGATAAAGATAGGATGACAGTTTGTCTTCAGTTTTCTTATGAGAAATATCTAAGAACCCTTAAGTTTTGAATAGTACTGCAAACCAGTATGGGTTGTTTTTTTTTGTTGTTATTTTTCATTCCAGACAGGTTTTATTATTTTTTGTATTTTATTGTTGTACTGGTTGGAGTACATTTTGGCATTTACAAACATTTTTACAACATATCAAATGTGTCATACTTGAATTTACCCCCTCCACCATTCTCCTTTATCTTCCCTTCCCACTCCCAACCCCCATTCCACATGGGTTTTAGAATGTTTTTTTGTGGTTGTTATTTTGCTGGTACTGGAGTTAGAACTCAGGGCCTTGCACTTGCTAGAAAAGTACTCTACCACCTGAGCCACACTTCCAGCCCTAATACCATATTTTTGCTCTGGATTTTATTCTACCTGGTTACAAAGTAAGAATTCCTCAAAGCCTTTGGAAGAGTTAAAGATGATTCACCAATAATGGATTATTTCTTATGAATCTCATTCTAGTTTTTTTCATTTCTTTTTGTTAAAAGTAAAGAAATATAGCTGGGCACAGTGGCTTACACTTACAGTCCCATCTACTTGGGAGGTGGAGATTTGGGAGGATTGTGGTTCTACGTGAGGCTGGGTAAAAAGTTAATGAGATCCCAGTCGCAACAAAAAATGCTGGGTATGATGGCATGTGCCTGTCTTCCCAGCTACAGCGAAGTGTAAGTAGGTGGATTGCAGTCTTGGCTGGGACACTATCTCAAAAATAACTAAAGCAAGAAGGGCTGATGGTATGGCTCAAGCGGTAGAGCATCTCCTAGCAAGCATTAGTCTCTGTGTTCAAGACTCCAGTACCACCAAAAAAAAGGTGTAGAAATATCTTTAGATTTTCATCTCTCCAGTCAGTGATATATATCTGTGAGACATTCTTTAGAGCAGAACGTATTTAGACTGACAAATATAATCTTAACTCTCCTGTCAACACTGGTATCTCTGGATTTGTTTTCATTTTAAATAAGGGCTTCTGTTGCCTAAGTGGAGAGCATGTTGTTCCCATTCAGTGAGGCAAGTCTCTTCTCTATAAATCTTAGTTTTGGAGAAGATGCCCTATGTACTGTACAGTGTCACTCTAATCACTGAAATTCAGTGTGTGTTTTTTGTTTACACATATGAAAACTATCTTGTCACAAATATAAGTTCAATTAATTTAATTAAAAATTAATGTTTTTGAGCCAGGTATGTTCATACATGCCTGTAATCTTCCTAGCTACTCAGGAGACTGTCTCAAAATAAACAAATAAATAAAATTGATGTTTTTGAAAAATATGCTCATACAATTGAGCATTATTTTAGAAAATACCTCATTTTTAACAAAATAAATGTTTATGAACATATGTTTCTTGTGATTATTTTGGTAGATTTGGATTAATGCAAGGACTAGACTTAGAAAGTCAAGCACAAATATAATTAAATAGGTGTCTTTAGGTGTGTGATAATTACAACCCATAATAAATCATGCTTAGTACTTAAATTTTTAACATTTTCTTTTCACCTTAGTTTTTCTCGAAGAGGTTCAAATCTGCTGCCATGTTAGGCGTCTTCGCTCTGTCGGCTGTAGTGCATGAGTATGCCCTTGCCGTTTGCCTGAGCTATTTCTATCCAGTGCTCTTTGTGCTGTTCATGTTCTTTGGGAGTAAGTATCTTGGCATGCTGTGAATATTATGCTAAAAGAGAAAACTAGACAGGAAGGAAATTATAAAAAACTAGATGGTACCATTTCAAGCTGGGCCACCTTGATCTTACTTACATGGGAGGCTGAGATGGAATGATCGAGGACAAATAGTTTTGAGAGACCTCATCTCCAAAATGACCAGAGCAAAATTGACTGGAGGTGCAGCTCCAGGAGAGCGCCTGCTTTGCAAGCATGCAGAACTGAGTTCAAACTCTAGTCTCACCCAAAACAGAAAAAATAGTAATACCATTTCAAGAGAGTGTCTGTTGATCAAATGGTAAGAATATTAACTTTGAATAATTATATACAGCTGTGTCTCAAGGTGTTTACACTTAGAAGTGGGGAAATGAATGAGGTAGCTTTATAGGGCATGAACCTATCTGTTTAGGGTACTTGCCCACTCAGAAACACTGTCAGTGGCCATTTTTCGAGTGATGGGGAGGGACAAATTAGAATATGGATAATTCCATGAAATATATTTTCACTTGTTCTGAATGTAATTGATGTCCTACTATTTAGTGATTAATAATTTTAACACTGAAGCTTCAGTTTTATTTATCAGACAAATAAATAAAGCATGCATATGAGCAGATGCTCACTGAGATGACTGTGATGTCAGCAGATGTTTGAGGCCTCACCTCTTCTGATGAATGATGTATTGTTAACTGTATTCTTTTTCTGTTCCTCACTTCAGTGGCTTTCAACTTCATTGTCAATGACAGTCGGAAAAGGCCAGTTTGGAACATTATGGTGTGGGCTTCCCTTTTCTTGGGCCACGGAGTCATTCTGTGCTTTTATTCTCAAGAATGGTATGCACGTCAGCACTGTCCTCTGAAGAATGTGAGTTGCCAGTCCTAACAGTGCAAACGTATCTTATTTATCTGCATATGCAAGGGGTTGGTGGGCAGTATTGAGCAGAAGGATAGTTTGGAGATTGTGATGAATCTGTTAAAAGGAGGGAAATAGGGAGCAAAGGCATTAGTTTATTATCCAGTCTTATCCTTGAAATTTCTCATTCTTTGGTTTTGTTCACATTGAACTCTTCTAGTTCTTGTTTTTCTTTTTTTTCTCCTTTCCTGCTTTTCCATTACCCTCTGGTAGGCATTCTCCAAGGTTTTTTCAATGGCAGGTATGTCCCTACTACCTCAATGCATATTTTCCACCCCTGTCTTCCCAAAATAATAAACTCTTTAAAAATGTCAGACAACGCTAGGATTCCATTTCCCTTAATTCTTTTTCTTTTTGTTTTCTCTTCTTCATAATTAAGTTCAAGTTTCATTTATCCTTAGGGTTTTATTTCTTTAGCTGTTTATGGAAAACTCCCAACTTTGGGGGTTCCTTCTTGATGTATTTACTGGGTATTTCTTCCAGGTGCCTATAACTGAAGATGTCTACGGTCAACTTAGTCTGGCTCTCTCCCCACACTTCTCTTCTATGTACCTCTTTAATTCACCCTTCTTATTTCCTTATTTCCCCTGTACCTCTGAACTAATTGCTCTGGACTCTGTCCCTAGTCACACTGCTCATAATACTCAAATCGCACATGTCAGATTTTATTCTCCTGTCAAAATCCAGTTTAGATGTTGCATCTTCCATGAAACTTCTTCAAATTCTTCCATTTTCCTGTTTCTGAAACTTTCATAGAACTTCGTCTGTTTCCCCTTAAAATAGTTCAATAATGTAAAACCTTTGTATTTCAGTGTATATTTTACTACCCTTAACTGCTACTTAGATTTTAGGCTAAAATATAGGGTTGTACTAAAATAAGAAGGTGAATAACTGGGCGTGGTGGCAAATGCCTGTAATCCCAGCACTTTGGAAACTGATGCAGAAGAATTGTTAGTTGAAGAGGATCCCCTGGGCTACACAGCGAGACTCTAATCTTAAAAATAAAATAAAATAAAGGCAAGATGCTGAAAGAGTTCGTACCTATTTGGAATTTGTATTAGTGTTGCAATTGTGTTGAGTTTGCTAAACTTCACATGAAGGTTCTAGATTGAGTAAATTGGTGCTGTAAGTAAAAATACTGAGAATCTTGAATTAATAGCTTCTTATGGCTTAAAGGTCATGGAAATGCTGGGAGGTAACTTCGAAATGCTTAATACGTAACATTAACATGTCTGCTTACCAACCTCAGATAGACAGTGTGCAAATAAACTATTCCATTCTTTTTCCCCCATCATAGCCCACATTTCTGGATTATGTCCGGCCACGCTCCTGGACCTGTCGCTATGTGTTTTAGAAGCTTGGACTTGGTCCCTTTCCTTGCCACTGAAGAATGGAGCCAGCTGTCTCCTGCTGTTACTTAAATTATCTGCACTCTTTGGACCATGCTAGTCTTTCCAGATTTTCACTACCTTCCTAGTAGCTCACCTGGACCTGGTACTGGACTGTTGGAAGTTCACTTAACAGGACTTTTTTTTTTTTTTTTTTTTTTTCTTTTGGGAGAAGGAGACCAGTAGCTGAGGTAATGGCAGATTTTTGCTGGGTCATCTCAGCTTAAGCCTTGGTAATTATATCTGTTTTGTTCTTTCACTCCATTTAACCAGAGACTTAACATCATATTTCCCTGACCACTGAATTAACCAAACATAAAGAAATCATTTAAGTACCTCTGGTTTAGAATTTTTTTCATGCACACTGTTGAAAGGTATGCTGATTAAACGCACAATTGGAGAAGAAAGGAAAGTAATGTGGAACAGTTTTTGCTATTTCTAATAGAAAATATCTATTTTCTAAAGATAATCTTGTTATAATCCTATTTTGTATATTTGTTGTTATGGTTTTGTTTTCCTGTGGTGCTAGGGATTGAACCCAAAGTCTCACACATGCTAGGTACTGCTCTACCACTCAGCTACAGCCCTAGCCCACTGTTTTGCATTTTAAAAAAAATTTCATTCTACTTAGTGTTTTTCCTTCTTTGGTCAATGTAGGTCACAAGCTTTGTGAAACAGCTGCCTTTCACCTTGAATTCTAGATTTGCATTAATAATAATACACATTGAGGGTATCAGAGTTGGAGGGAAAGAGAAAGCAGCAGCACAGGAAAAACAAAAACATTTTTTCTCATAACTTTTTAAATCCTGTGTTTATGGAACTTACACAGAAGATAATTTTTTTAACTTTAAGGTTATAACTTCTTTGAAGTTATTTATTGGTACAATTATTTTATAGTCTGATACTAGCTTACCTTGAACGATCTTGCAGACTGCTGAGTTTGTAGCGTAAGTATTAATCACCTCCATTAATATTAAAGTGATCATTAAGCATCCAGAAGCCGGCTTTGGAAGCATCGGCTCAGTCATTGTGCTTGTAACAGTATATTTTAGATGAAACAAATCAATGTGATCATTTTTAAAGACATACACTGTATTGTGTGACATGCCCATGTTATACTATGCCTACTCCTGATACAGTGTGGTGTGTAGGAATTATTTTGCTTGTATGCATGGGTATGATTATATTTGTAAGGGTTGCATATTGGGGCCGGGAGTAGTGGTACATGCTTATAATCCCAGCTATGCAGGATGTGGAAGTAGGAGGATTGGGTTCTGAGGCAAACCTCTGGGAAGAAACACCACACCCTATTTGAAAAATAACTAAAGTGAAAAGGACTGGAGGCATGACTCAAGTGGTCACAAGGACCTCAGTTCAATCAATCCCCAACACCAAACAAACAAACAAACAAAAAAACCTCACATAACACATAAAGGAATGGCCACTTTTTGTGAAAGAAGACTGGTTTGACAACCACAGTCTTATTGCTAGCTGCTTTCAGCAGAGATCTTTTCCTTAAACGATCACCTACACTGTTCAAACAAATAAAACCTAAAATCTTTTGCTAATGTGTTTCAGGAAGACTCATTTTCTCTATTTTGTTAGTGGGGTGAAAACTATTTTCAGTTATAAAATGATAACGTTTTTCTTTCTGAAAAGTAATGAGTTTATAATTCATTCCTGTAGGCAGTATTAAATGATGGTAACCATGCTGGTTACCATACTAAGTAGCATGTCCAGTATTTCACTTTATGTTTAGATCTCTGATTTGCTCTTTTAGTACCTTTCTGTGTGAGAATGTGTGGTATATTTGCATTCCCAATTGCAGATAGTGGAAAAAGAAGAGGGAAACTTAGTTTTCTTGATAAATTAAGGTCCTGAAATTGTTGGGGTAAAGTTGTTTGCCTCATATTAAAATTTAATTAGAAAACGGAGTCTGCTTTTACCTATCAGTAACTGTAACATTTGGGAGCAAATGGAGTGGGGGAAGTGTTTTGCCCATTTATTATAAGCAATTTGTATTGTAGTTTTAAAATTATACTTGCCTGAGAAATTGAATCTGTCAGGCTTTTTAGACAATAGATCATTTTTGTGTTTAAAAGTTACTACTTTGGGCCACATAGCCTAAAAAGGGGGGAATTTACACAAAAAAGCCCTTGTTTTGCATGGGTACAAATAATTTCAAGTAAAGTCCAGTTCATGTGAGAGAACAATAATGATGGTAAACAAACTTAACAGTAGTTGCAAGGCGGCCTGATACAGTGCAGTAGCTTAAACGTTTGAGTTGTGCAGTCATTTAGTGGAATAAATTGTTTTACTTAAGTCCATCACATAAAACAACAGAGCCTCAGTACTGAAGTCAGGAGAGTGGGCCTGTAGGCCTTCTTGCACGGTACAACCATTCTTTCCTGCTTCTGAACCCCCAGCCTGAGAACCAGCAGCACAGTGAAGAGTGAACGTGGGCTTTGGGCACTGATGAGCAATGTGACCTGAGGCAAAGTTGCTTCATTAGTGCCAGAGCCAGCACTTTCCTTATCTGTGAAGTGGGCACAACAACTACCTCATCGGATTGCTTCGGAGCACTAGCCCTGGCAGAATTAGGGCCTCATTCTTTTCTTACCCTCCATAAATTTGAAACCTACAAAAATGTGAATGCTTCAAATGCTGCCTATCCCAGGAAAGTATGCTGATGTTTCAAATAGACCCTTGGGAGGATGGTTTCTCTCATAATGGCATCGACTCGATCATTTTTAACAAGATTGTTTGTATCGTTCCAAAATTATTTCAGGTTTGTCTGCTTTACCCTTAGAGTGGGGTGGAAAGCTTCTAAAGGAAGTATTGCTGCCATTACCTATAACTAGCATGTGCATTTTATAGCTAAGCTTTAGAATTTATGGAGGGAAGGAAACTAATGAGGACTTCTGCCAGTGTAAAGAATGCCTTATAGTCTGGAAGGCAGAAAACAATTTCTTAATTGAAGTTATCTCATTTCTTTTAGTTAATAAAGTTTGAATGACTTGTTTACTAATCTTGTACATGCTTTCATGTGATTTTTGTAATGGTGTACACACCCTGGCAAGTCTGTCTTGGACATTGTTTCTTATATCTTATTGCCAGGTTGTATGGCAGTAGGACATAGTGTTTTGAGGAATACAGTGAATATTGTTGTGGGGCATATCAAAGGATTTGGTTAGTTTTTATTGTCACTGAAGTTTTTATCAGGAAATAGAGTGTTGAAATAAAATGTTACATATAAGCCCACTTCATAGAGAAACAGTGCAGTCTTCTTTCTGGGATGCCCTCAACTTAATACCCAGTTTGGAATTCTGTAGATAGTAGCCAGGAAAGCTGTATAGTCTATAGTTACTAAATCCTTAATGAAGTTTTTTTTTTTTTTCTCCTGTAAAATAGACTTTTTTCAGTGCTGGAAAGATAAGACTTTTAATGGCTAATTTAGACTCAAGAAGAATGGGTTATTTTCAGAAGTGATAACAGTTTTTTTTTTTTTTAATCTAAAACAACTTCAGTATTCCCTTTTTCTAAAGCACATCCTTATTCTATATGAATACATTCACAGTTCTGCTTCAGCATGCCCTTCCTGGTAAATGCAGTGCTAACATAAAGGATTTGTCTTACTGAAGTGGCAGCTGACTTTGAAACAGTCCATTCATGTACCCAGTCTTTTATTTTGAATTGCCATGTGCCAACTCTTAGTAGAAAGAACACTGAAGCCTAGGGGCTCTGCCATTTGGGCCAGGGCAGCAGCACCTTGAGTCTCTGGCATCTCCATCTTGTGCATAAATCCACAGTACTCTGGGAGCAGCAGAAGGGTCACTGAAATATAAAGGTGTTTTTTAAAGGTTCTTCTATGATCAAACATGTCATTTCTAATTTATTCTTACTCGCTTTTCTGAATTTCTCTTCCCTTCTCCCCTGAAAATCTATGTCAAGTCACTGATTTAATGACTTTGTTTAATATGCATTGTATCAGCATTAGTTCAAAATTTTTTTTAACTTTAAAATATATACACACACAAGATGACAAAATATTGCATATGTGAGGAATGTGATAAATATATTTGGAAAAAAACCTAGTCTCTTTTTTTGTAGTACTGGGTTTGAACTCAGGGAACTGCACTTGCAATACACCCTATCACTTGAGCCACACCTCCAGTCCATTTTGCTCTGGTTATTTTGGAGATGAGGGTTTCTCAAACTATTTGTCCAACTGTCCTTGAACTGTGATCCTCCTGACCTCAGCCTCCCAAGTAGCTAGGATTACAGGTGGGAGCCAGCAAGCACCTAGCTGAAACCTAGTGTCTTTGAAAAGTACCTTCTCATGTATTCAGTATTAACTGTTTGTGTTCATAAGTGTTTCATCTTAACCTCAGGCAGTTTTACAGCCAAAAGAGAAGACAAGTACCTAAACAGGACCTTCTTATCTAGTATAACGGAGCTTAGTTGTGACTGTATTTGCATCAGGAAAGGCAATGGCACACTTTCTCTTTAGCCTTCTGTCTGTTGCAGCATGACCTCTTCAGTTTTTTTGCTCTTGGCCTTTTAAAACCTATGAGTAAGTTCTAAGAAATCCTCACTCCCTCTTCCAAGAGGATACGAAATAGACTTGTTTCTAAAGAAAGGTAAAATTTGTTTTTTTTTTTTTTTTTTTTTTTTTTGAGACAGGTTCTCACTATGCATACCAGGCTGGCCTTGAACTCTGGATACTCCTGCCTTCACCTCCTGCCTTTACTTCCTGAGTATTGGGATTACAGGTGTTCACCATACCCAGCTGAAGTATGCTTTTAAGACTGGGAAGACCAGTTTTGAAGCAAGATAGGTTGCTTCTCCTCTGCTATGGTTCAAATATGTATCCTCCAAAGTTCAGGCATTGCCAATGTGGTAGTATGAAGAGGGGGCTTTAGGGGCTGGCTAGGCCATGAGGGCTACTTCCTCATGAATGAGACAAACGCTAAGATGCTTCGCATCGGTTTGACTCTCTTGCCCTCTTCTGCCATGTGAGGACAGTGTTCCTTCTCAAGAGGATGCAGCCCTGGCATTTGATCTTAGACTTCCCAGTCTCCATAACTGAGAAGTAGGTGCCTGTGCTTTATAAATTACCCAGT